TGTAAGGATGTAGTGTGTGTCGTGACTGCAGAGTGTATGTTTGTGTAGTGGATATAGTGTGTGTAGTGACTGCAGATTGTGTGTGTGTGTTTGTGTTGTGACTGCAGAGTGTGTGTTTATGTAAGGATGTAGTGTGTGTAAATGTTAGTGAATAGTGTGTGTAAATGTTAGTGTATAGTGTGTGTAAATGTTAGTGAATAGTGTGTGTAAATGTATGGGGCTGCATAATGTGGGGGGGGGAAAGCCTACAGTATTTTTTTTTCTCACATTAATTGTCTTGTTTTATTCCCCCCTCCCTGCATCTCACTAGTGGCCATGGAGGGGGGAGATCACATTGGCTGGAGCCGGAGGTCCTGAGGCATGGTGCAGCCCCCCACTATCTGTATTTTGCAGTGGGCCCAGCACACTTGAAATATACTGCCCAGATACTCTGCTCTGTCGAAGTCTCGCGAGCCATGCGGAGCGTTGCCATGGTAACCCGTCGCAACGCTCTGACGATCGCGCCGCTCACGAGACTTCGACAGAGCAGAGCATTTGGACAGTATCTTTCAAGTGTGCTGGGCCCCCTGCAAAATACAGGTAGCGGGGGGCCGCAGTGCACACATATATAGCGTTAATCTCTATATATGTGTGCACATAGCTAATGTGGGGCCCAGGACGCCCTGAGCAATCCAGGCCCCCCAGGACCGCCGGGCCCATGACAACCGTCATGGTTGTCATGCCCTGATGGTGGGCCTGCACATGGGATTAGGGGGCACCTGCCTTACTAGTGTGGAATAGATTCACTTTGCTATATTATTTTATGGTTCAACTGTATTCCGATTATTGAGAAAATTAGTGGGTATGCTGTCATATCATGGCACTATATATTCAGCAGATTACATAATAAAAGCATAGTAATAAAAAACAAAATGTTCCCTAAAGGAGGCATACATCATTGCTTTCTCAATATAAAATTAATGGCAGGACACATAGGAGAGCTATAGTTCCACCTATACAACCTTTTCCTATATACCACACTCCTTCACTAAAAGACACGAACCATAAGGAAATCAGCTCCCAACAGGTCACATAATTCCAAACTCAAGATTCTCAGTGCACAGGACCAACCATTGAAAACCGCAACTCCTTCTTCAGTTTGAGGTATATTTAATTCTACCATCCACAATGGGCTTGCAACATTTTGACCCATACATGTCAAGCATAGGCGATGTGCAAAGCAAGTTCCCTCTGTCCCCATTTTGGTCTGTTTTGGCATTTTTAAATACCTCTTTAAACGCTTTTTTTTTTTTTTTTTTACAAATTAATATCCTGCCTTCATCAGGCTTAAAATGTGTTTACTGCTATTTGTTCACTTGGGAGGGTACTTTAACCCCTTATTATTATGTATCATTTTGTTCAGGGGAAACAGGGCTTTCATTTCACATCAAATACTGATATATGAAACATAATTTTAATTTTTAATATTTCGGGTTTTTTTTAGTTTTGCATGGCAATTTAACTGTGAATGTCATAATACTGTAAGCTTTTACTGCAATAAAATGCGCACATTTATATTCAGTAATGTCTCATGAGTACAGGTTTTATTACTTTTTTGTACCGGTTTTATGTTTTTTGATAAGTAACAGGGTCAAATGTAGCGCATTCCATTGTTCAGTTTATACAGATTGAAATTTGCCAGATTGGTTATTCTGCCTTTGAGACCGTATGGTAGCCCAGAAATGAGAATTACCCCCACAATACCATTTGCAAAAGTAGACAACCCAGGATATTCAATATAGGGTACATCCAGTCTTTTTTAGTAACCACTTGGTCAAATTTAGCGTTCATATTTGTTTGTATGTGAAAAATGCAAAAAACAAATATGAAAGTGTGAAATGTGACCAGTGAATGTGACTAAGTGGCTACTAAAAAAGACTGGGCATACCACATTTGCAATACCTTGGGTTGTCTACTATTGCAAATGGGACGCCATCCTGGGGGTAATTCTCATTCCTGGGCTACCATACGGTCTCAAAAGCAACTTAGCCAATCTGGCAAATTTCAGTGTGAAAAAACTGAAATGGGAAAGCCTTATATTTGACCCTGTAACTTTCTAAAACATCATAAAATGTGTACATGGGAGGTACTGTTTTACTTGGGAGACTTCGCTGAACACAAATATAAGTGTTTAAAAACTGTAATACCACAACGATGATATCGTCAGTAAAATTGCCGTTTGAATGTGAAAAATGCAAAGAAAAGGGTACTTTCTCTAACGATATCATTGTTGTGATATGTTTTACTGTTTTGAAACACTAATATTTGTGTTCAATGAAGTCTCTCGAGTATAACAGTGCCCCCCATGTACAGGTTTTATGGTGTCTTGAAAAGTTACAGGGTTAAATATAGTGCTTGAAAATTAAATTCCCTGGACTTTATATATATATATATAGAGAGAGAGAGAGAGAGAGAGAGAGAGAGAGATAACTTGATTCTAAATGTATTTTGAAATCAATAGTTAGAACTAAATTACACATATATATCATTTATTTTTTTTAAATTTAATTTTTTTTAAATGTATTGATTATTTTTATATTTTTTGTATGTATATATATATATAGAGAGAGAGAGTTAAGGTAATTCTAAGTGTATTTTAATATTAATATAAATAAAATATTAATATTAAGTTGTATTATTAAAATACACTTAGAATGATAGTCTATGTGTATGTGTGTTTATATAAAAGTACTTAGATCATCGGTAAGTATTAAGGACGGAAGGGATGTTCTATGCCATAGAAAAGGAGAAAGTAGGGTGAAATTGGAGAAACATTGCACCCGTGTCAAAGGCAAATTCCATTGTTGGCTATTAACCCCTTAAGGACCACGGTCCTTAAGGGGTTAATAGCCAACAATGGAATTTGATTTTGACACTTGTGCAATGTTTCTCCCATTTCACCCTACGTTCTCCTTTTATTTTAGTACTGTAGTACTATAGTACACATCATCCCCAATACATAGAACAAAAAAAAAAAAGGTATGCTCACTTGCCATGTCAAGGCAAAACCTCTTAGGTGAGTCCTACACTAGCAATTCACCTTGCTCCTTTGAGCTAAAGGCGAAATCTCTAATGAGACAGAGTTGGGAATTTAGTAAACACATACACACCTTAATAGGGTTTTTTTTTTCTTCTGTGTATTGGGGATGATGTGTATCATAGTCATTGCTGTCAGCGAGGACTAGTGGGAGTTTGAAGGCAGGGCTTAATTTTGTAATGTGTAATAAATGTACATTCTACATTACCGCTACATTACTTTAGCTGTATAATAACCTGTTAACACACAAATTAACTATAGTATCCTTAAAAATGTTGCTTATCCCAATACAAGCATACAATGCATTGTTCAAGTGGATTAAATCCCAACAGTATAGAAGAATGCAACAAAACAATCTAATTGTCACTTGAAAAAGTGAAAGTGGCTCAGTTCTTATTTATATACAATATGTCTCCAATTAGTATAGATATTAAGTCAATTAAAGTAATATTTAATTCATTAAGGGTGATTGTACATAGGACGGTGATAGATTATTCTTTATAAAGTGTTTCATTTTAGGCCGAGATGTGTCTTATTACATGGAACAGTATTGACAAGTAGCATAGCATTGTTACAATTGAGCAACACTAGATAGGAAGTCTCCCATATATTTGGAATTTCTCTTACATTTCTTTTTTCCTTAAATCAATTTTTATTGGAATTTTTATCATTCATGTCACTCTACATTGCAATACTTTTTAATACAGATATCCATTGGCCTACACATCGATTTTGAACATTGGTATCCCATATATAACTACAACGTATTTATAAAGTGCCATGTGTGGCGTAAACCTCTGTATCAACAGCATATTCACAAATTGTCTTGGGTGGCGTGAACCACTTTTAGTAGAGTTTATACATCATCCTGGTTGCTGTTGTTATTGCGATAAAATACCCATGTCAATATATTAAATGTACATTGTTAATTCACAGACCATTGTGTGCGTTCTCACATAACCGGTAGTTCCACCTAGTTTCGTGCCATATGAGCCTAATCAAGGTCCTTGCTTGAGTGCGCACGTGCCTAGTGTGGCCTCGGACATCCACGTATAATGTTTTTAGGATATTATCACAGGAATACATTATAACTTTACAAACAAAAACAAAGAACAGAAAATAACCCTGAAACTTCAGGGACATGGTTGGCTTTGCACCTTTGTTCTATCAACGATTTGTCAATGTCTCGGGACTTCGGTTCCCCTTACCCTTTACCTTTCCCTTTATCTTTTCCCCCTTCCTTCCACCCCTTGCACCCTGTGGTATTTGGCTTTTTATGTCATATTATTCCTGCCGTCCTCTAGGGTGAAACCTCACTTGTCGTTGCTCCCATGTTCCCTTCCTGGTCCTCTAGTATCCAGTTTGTGGGCTCTGCACTCCGTCAGTTTGTCTATCCTCTTTATCCCCATATTCTGCCCATAGTGTGTCCCATTTTTCCCATGTTTTTTCGCATTTCTGACTCGTGTTGGTTAGGGAATGTGACATTTTTTCATACACTCTTGTCTTGTCAAGTTTTTCTAGTACCATGGTCAATGGTGGGGGCTCTTTTGTTTTCCATAGGGTAGCTATACATTGTTTTGCGGCTATCAGGACATGGATTATTGCTGCTCTGTTCGGTGTGCTGTAGACCTTCGGGAAGATATGTAGTATATATGGTGCTATGTGTATGGAAATCTCTTGCCCTGTCAGCTTGGCTAACACCTCTCTTTGATTTGTGTCCAGAAGGGGAGGAGTGCCCCGCAGGACCAAAACATGTGGCTGATTGAACCCGGTTCGTCCCACATCTCCAGCACCCCTGGGTCGAGTTGGCATAAATTCTGCGGGGTCATGCACTACCTCATCTACACCTTATACGGCCTCTAAGTGGTCTAAACTTCTACTAGCCGCTTTTGTTTGTTTGTGGTGTGGTGAACTCCTGACCTACCTCTTTTTCCCAATTGACTATGTAGGAGAACTTTTGTGGTCTCTGTGTGTCCTGTATGGCTCTGTAGCAGGCCGCTAATGGTTTCCTGCTAAGTTTTCCTCCTATGCATAGGCGTTCAAAGTTTCCCATCAGAGAGGGGTCTGGTGGGGGACCAGGGGTCTCCTGTGCTATATGTTTTACTCTAATGTATGTGAAGAGCTCCCTGTTGGGTAGAGCGATCCTCTCCTGTAACCTCGGGAACGGTTGGATTCCTGCCTCCCCAACTAGCTGTGCAAATTGCTGAATTCCCGCCCTTACCCATGACTGAAGCATTAGGCCGTGGTGTAGTATTGTAGGCATTGTAATGGTGCATACCATAGGGGGTTTCTCAGTGCCAGCAGTGTTTTAGCCCATTTGTTCCACGTATTTAACGATAGGGACGTGGTAGGTAAGGGATTTAGCATGTTGGGGTGCCTTTGTGGTGGAACCCACAATAGGGTGAGTATGTCGTGGGGGGCGGTCACCAAGCTTTCCAACGTGTACCACAGTGGGTAATCTGTGGCGTGTACCATTTGTTAGCGAGAATTGTCTAGATAGAAATCCGGTATTTAATATTTTTGCTGATGGTGCCGTGTATAATGCTATTATAGCTTTTAAGAAGGCAGCCAGGAAGCCGAATTTTGTAAGGACCTCAGTCATATCCCCAATGTAGCAGGTTGAAGGCCTTTTCTGCATCTAATGCCAGGGAGTGTTATAATGTTTGCTTCCAACATCTCTGGGGGCACCTGTACTGTTTCCATTATATTATTGAATAGGTCTGTCATGTGAGGTATTAATATGTCCACAAATGTTTGGTAGTACATGTTTGAGAAGCCGTCCGGCCCCCGGTGCTTTGTGTTTTGATAATGAACCTAATGCCCTACGTACTTCTTCTTGTGTAACTGGGGCATCTAATTTCACTCCCTCCTCAATTGTTAAGCGTGGCAGTTGCACCTGCTCTAGGAACCTTTGTATTTCAGTACTATAGGGTTGTAGCAACGTGGTGTCTTTATTTAGGTTATATAGTTTTTCATAGTATTCCGCGAATGCGTTCAAGATACTGTTTGGGTTTGTTATTTTCTCCCCCTGCTGTGATTTTGTTTTGAGCTTATTTCTGTTTTAGTTTAGCTGCCAGTAGTTTACCTGCCCTGTTACCCTGGAATTTCTCTTACGTTTCTAATTATAATTTCACCTAGAAATAAACTGCAAACAGGGTTATTTACCAAAGTGAGAATTCAAAGTGAATTCAATGTGATTTTCAAATATAAGTCTGGAAATAGCCGAGTTTGACAAACTCTCCTACTCAATAATGCTGTCAGTTTAGCTATTTTGTCTAAAATTGGAAATCTGCTTTGAATTCACTTTGAATCCCTAGTAATTCTCACGTTAGTGAATAACTCTTTTTAAAAATAAATAAATGTTAATATTCTTTATTTTAGGCAGTGCATAGTATAACAGACTTGGTGGTTCAAACATTTCACAGGTGTATACATAGCAATGTTAAAATGCTAGCAGAATAGGAAATGTTTATGGTGCTTCACTTATTTATAATAAAACGAGAGAGTACAGACAAGGCACAGCTCTATTATAAGTAAAACAGAGTGAGTTTGGAAGCTTCAGAACTATAGAAATGTGGGCTAGTACAAGAAACAGATACCACTGAATAAGACAGGTTGTAGAGCAGATAGGCTTCCGTAGGAGGATGTATCAGATATAGGCATAGCTTTCATGCATATCAAGAGAACATCACTATGTGTATAACTCTCATTAAAGTCCTATCTATATGCCAAACTGCTAGTAGTCAGACACTAAATATAGGGCAATGTCTTCGAACCTTAGGTTCTCCAGCTGTTTTACCATCTGGCTGGCTTAGAGCCATGGGAAATGTAGTCACCAAAATCTGGAGGGACGATCTTTACTGTCATTAATAGGACAGGATCTAGATACGCATCTGTTGCCCAACTACCACTCCCATGATGCTTTGCTCTGCTTAGAAACCTAGAGTAGACAAGGTAACTGTACCAGCAGCTGTGGGTCTGTCACTCTCATGATCCAAGCCAAGGGTTACCTGATAATCATGGGAGTTGCAGATCAAAAACAGCTAAAGAGCTACTTTTTTGGCTTCGCTTTTAGTACATTCATCTCCTTTCCGATCTTTCAGATAAATTACCCATAATTCTCTACCTCTCCTCATCTTACAACCAGGCTTGTTAACACATGCAGTACCATCCCAGCCCGTTGCATTCACTTCATACTTGGGAGAGTTTTTCTAAAAATCTACTGCTGACAGATGAAGAGTAGGCCTCGTGCCAGTTTCCCATGAAACAATAACCTCATGCATACCACATTTAACTGTGCCCAGCCCAACCTACCACACCAGGCACAAAAAGCATTGGAAGTTGTGTCAGAATGTCAGAAGGCCAACAGAAATCAAATAATTGGAATGATGTGCAATAGAACAAAGCTATAAAGCTACACCTTATCTTTAACAATTCAATGTCTCTAGCCATTAAATTATGAGTGCATCTTGTTTTAGTTATCATTTCTAACTATTCAGCATAATAAACAGCTGGCTAAGCTATGTCTGTGCATATTCTTTAAACTTTATGCTCTGTAAAAATGTTTCCTTTTTAGTTAAAGAATGGCAGCATTGAAAACTAGATTACCCCAACACCATTTTGTAAAACGTGCACTCAAAGGGACACCCTAAGCCACAAAACAACTTAAGCTTAATGAAGCAGTTTTAGTGTATAAGTTATGCCTCTGATGACTCTTTGATTATGTCTTTGCAACCCTCGTTACACCTCCCCTGACTGTGACTATAAAGTTTGATCAATTTGTATAGTATATTGCTGTTAAAATCAAATAGATGCCTATTTTTTCTTCATGTGTATGCCCACTCCTGATTAAACATAGAATTATTTAAAAAGTACATTAGGTGTTAAAACAGAATTGGAGATTACACCATTGTAAAACAAGTTTTGTTAACCTTTCTTTCAAAATGTATATTAAAGGACCCAGTTAAGCCAAGGCAAGGCCAGGGCACACAATGCAAATGAGGATGAGACAGAAACATTGTTTTAGTTCCTCCTTTCCAGTAACTATGTTCAATAGCAAAAAAAGTACCACATTTTGTCACAATGATTGACAGGTAGCTAAGATGGAGGCACCCAGTTTCTAAATAGATGTGTGTTTTTTTTAAATTACATTTTATTTTTCAGACTTCACAAGATAATAATTGCAATAAATTCAATATATGTATGTCTCCTCTCTAGTTCCTATAATTTTTTACAGTGCATGTGAACCATCTTGACTGTTACAAAATACTTTTTCATTATCTCTACAGGATTAACATAAGTATTTCGACTCAAAGATTTATCGCTTCTATTTCCGGATTATTGTTTGTATCACACATAAAAAAAAAAAAAGAAATCTCACAAAAACGGAAGTTCATGGTATATTATTTGACTAATATACGACGACACCTTTGTGACTCAAAAGTCCCTGCAAGAGAATGAGCAGAAATTTAGGGCATTTGTCATGTATGTTTAAATTAAAAACAATGATATTACACATTAAGCGTTTGAGGTTTGGTGTGGGAACTTCGTACATTAAACAAATCATTATACCAAACCCTGACAAACAGCAGCCGAGAGCTTTTGAACTCGAACGATCAGAAGATTTCTGCACACCATCATTCAGTCCTGATTTTGATACCATGTGCTCTTGTTCATGTCCCTTCGTGGTACCATAGCACTTCCGATACTCACTGCTAGCTATACTTAAGTAACTTTTAATTTGACTTGAAAAGAAAACACCTTTTATTCTTTCTTCTTAATCATGTGTTGAAGACGTTTTCATGACAGTCTTTTCAAAGTTGACGTACAACACCAAAAAAATGTATCCTAACTGAAATGTGCAAACCAATTAGCACAAAAGGCTGTTGAACTGTTTTGCGGTTTAGAACATCTCAAGAAGAAGAAGAATTTTATATGTGCTCATGAGTTATAATGATGGTCAGAATATGCTACAAAAATATTATCGATAAACAGCAGAGTGGTTAAGTCTTAACTGTTTTGCAACCAATGCAAGATCCCATCGAAACATATTGCTATTAAATTGGAATGAAAGTGTAAATATCCAACACAAAAAAATAGAAACATTTTTATTTTACCATTTTAAGAAATTATTGCAAAAGCATACTTTTAATTCCTTTTGTTGCTAGTTATATGCTATATATTTAATTAAAAATTGTGCTCCAATCCAGGGTTTAGTTAAAGGGACACTCCAGGCACCCAGACCACTTCTGCCCATTGGAGTGGTCTGGGTGCCAACTCCCACTACCCTTAACCCTGCAGCTGTAAATATTGCAGTTTTCATAAACTGCAATAATTACATTGCGGGGTTAACTCCTACATTGCAGGGTTAACTGTCTACTAGACAGCCACTAGAGGGCACTTCTTGGTTTACAGCACAGGTCTGTGCTATAGCGTCGCTGGACGGCCTCACGCTATGTGAGGACCTTCCACGTCTCTAAAATCCCCATAGGAAAGCATTGAAAGCATTTTCAATGCTTTCCTATAGAGAGTGCTAATGCGTGTGCGCGGCAATGCTGCGCATGCGCACTAGGTCTCCCCCGCCGCTTGCCGCGCATGCGTAATCGGTCTCCCCCGCCGGATGAACCCTAAACAAGCGCCGAGGGACATCGGCGCTTGTCGCAGGTATGTCACTGAAGGGGTTCTAACCCCTTCAGCAACATGGGATGGGGGGTGGGAGGGAGAGGGGACCTGCAGTGCCAGGAAAATGGTTTGTTTTCCTGGCACTGGAGTGTCCCTTTAATAACAGTTGTTGTAGGAAAGAAACTGGATATTCTCAGGTATGCCTGATACTTGCTTTTAAAAACACAGGAACAAAGCATAAAAAGTACTCAGCATTACAATTTTACAATATAGTTGGATTTCATAATTCCAAATATGTTGCCCAAAGATCAAATGCTGAAATGTCAATATGAGTCCAAGATTGGATTTCAGCATAAGAATAGGTTGTATCAACAAGATTTTGTAAAGGAACTGCTCATCAAATCTAAACGTGACACTAATCAGTTTCTCTGATTAAGACCACCTCCTTCTTTAGATAATAAACATGTAATATGAGAAATTCTTAAGAAAGGTGCTCTATTCCAGTGTTCTGTAATCTGTCAAAGCAGAGACTTTATATATCTCTGGCTTGGATAGATGAAATGAGTTGTATGTGACATCGGAGAATGGTACACTACATGGAAATGG